AGATTTATTTTTATGATATAAAATACTCTTATAGTCTTATTTTTATCTTGGAACATTTGATCTTTTTTTTCTTTAATTATGAATTAATTTAGTCATTTGGGCAAAATAAAAATCTAAAATTACAATGTAGTTTAATTAATTTAATATCAAATTTCATAATTATTATATTTTCAAAACATGTTGTTTCATGTAAAATATATATTATTGTTTTTAATGCATTTTAATAATTGATTACTATTTAAATTGATCTATGAGATTGGGGGTAGAGTTTATATAATAATTTTTAGTAATATATACTATAAATGAACTAATTTGATTCATGCGAACATTAGTGAATAGGTAACTTTGAAAGAATCTACTTAAATGAAGAAAAGTTTCACATAATATAATGTAAATTTTTATTTGTTTAAATTCACGTAAAAATACAATAGGTTATTATAAATAAATATAAATTTAATATAACTTGAGAAAAAATATTCTATAAGTCAAGAAATCTCATTGTTACTTGAAAAAAAGAACACATTTGAAACATATTAATTTAAATTTTGTATTAATTAATTATGATAAAATCCAATAAATGCCTTAAAATCTTAAATAAAAAATATATCATCATTATTATTATTATTGTACAGAAAAATGTATCATTATTTAAGTACAAGAGCCGTCCAAATCCGCAATAGTACAAGTTTTCTAAATTACTGTGCATAATACAAATAACAGTAATTGAAACAACTACTCGAATTTTTGGAGTCAATTCCTTCCATAAAATAGAGTAATGACAACAATTCGGGGAGCACTCCTTCAACTCTATGAACAAAGCTGTAAATTGCAACCCCCTTTTGGGAGAGTATGGTGGCCAGGGGGCCCTTTGCTCGGCTTCATCCTCTTTGGAAACAAAGGAAGAGGTCCAGAGTAGAGATATCCCCAACCCCGAGTTTAGAAACAAGAGCTATCCAAATCTATTATATTGGAAAATAATCTATACATACTTAGTTTAACATATTTTTTATTTAATTATTAAAAATATAATATAAATACAATTAATTCAATCAATTCTTATATTTTGTGTGTATGATTGTATTTTTAAACTTATTTACTTTTAATTTTAGATAAAAATTAATAATTTTTTAATGAGTGTGTTGTATAATATATTGAACCGGAGTGTTCAAACATAGGCTATGGGATTTAACATCCTCTTCTCTATTTTCTCCTATTGATGTCTGTTGATGCCAATATAATGTAGGATAGAGAGAAACACGAGATTTATGTTGAAATTTCTAATGAGAAAAAAATCACCAGTAAAGAGTAGCAAAACCGGGTACAATGATCTTAAACCCTTATAACCTCTTTAGGGTTTATATCTATGACTTCCTTATTTTATAATCTGAACTACATTAGACAATAAAATAGGAATCATAATACAAGGAGAGCCCCCAATATCAATGGACTCATTCTTAGTCAATGATTATAATTTTATAATTTGAGATAGTTTAGATTGTACAATACTTTTTTAAATATTTATACCATTAAATTTCCTATTCGAAGTTGACCACGAAACTAATTATTCACTCGTCTCGTCATTTCTTTTGGTTAAATATCACTTTGAATCCCTTAACTTTAAAGTTTTACATAGTTTTGGTACCTCAATTGTTTTATGTATTTTTTTAGTCTCCGTGTTTGTTATTTTTTAGTTCTTTCGTCAATTAATCTATTAAGTTTGTTTCACTACAAGAAAACCTAGCTTCACTGACCACATATCACCGAGGTAAGAAGTTTTCTCGGTGAAGTATCCATTTACCGACAAGAATTAAGTCTGCAACTTGAGAAACAGTGGAAATGGCAGTAAGATACATTATTTATTGTACAGACGTAACACTTGTCGGTAATTTACTAAAATACATACGTGTTACTTGTCGGTAATTGCAACCAACACTCCGGCCGGTGGGGGAAGGATGGAAATGCACATCACCGATGAGAAGTACGCCTGTAAATTTAATTTTGGAACGACAGTCTCGTCAGTAATTAAGGATCAATTTCCAACATCCATCTTCTCGGTAATTTCTACTCCCAATGCACCCCCCCGCCAACCAGCTGGCTGCCTGCGTCAGGGGTGCAGCTTTTTGATGAAATTTCTGACATAGTTCTTACTAGTAATTTGCCCTTCAACAACTCCCCGCGAATCCGGCTGGTGGCCACTGGTGTTGCAGCTTTTACTTTGTGTACCGATAAGATATAGGTCGGTAATATGTGCATTGCCAACTTGATGCTCGTCGGTGATTGTCCAGTCAACGGGAATCCTGATGCAACGCAAAGATGAGCAGCTTTAGACTGTAGCAATGTGGGTTTCGTCGGTAAGCTTCCCTAT